TATGTTGTGTCACACTCATAAAATTATATAGATGTCGATCCTATGATTGGCAAAATTTTATATGATTTTTTGGCACACCTCTAATGTCATAGGAGAACTTTCACGTGATTGGCCGATCGATTTCAATTGAATTTATACAGTTTAAATTACTTTTTAAAATTTTGATAATCTACATAATAAAAAAAAATTTTTTATTTCTAGCTTTGAATTAACTTTAAAATTCACTGTGCAAAAGAATCTCAAAAGAATCTGAAAACTAAAGATACTTTAGTTAAGAAGCAAATATGCCTATTACTGGACTATGTAAAATTACTATATGCCAAAAAAGTCAACTAACTGGAAAAAGGTGACTGAGTATGTTCTTGATAAAGGTTAAGTTAACAATACTTTGCCAAATTATATACAAGAAAACGATGTAATTTGCTTAGATTGTTATAATAGAATTGTAACGAGAAGCTCACTTGAATTTCATAACGGTGTTGATGAACATATTCAATCCTTATTGAATCTTTAAAAAGTTTAGATAAAAAACAAAAATGGGTTGTAGAACCAGAAGATAATATTCTTAACGATGATGATAATGGTATAAGCAAACTGGTAAACTATATAACATTCGCGTTAGAAGAGACATTACGAAAATTTCAACAGCAATAAAATTTTTATTATTTTTTTTTTAAATATTATAAATATTATATAAAATTAATAAATTAAACTAATTTATTGATTTTTAAGATTTTTAGTTAATATATATATGAATGCTAATTAGTCTAAATTAAAGAAGGGAACTGTAATTAATATATTGCAACTTTTAATGTTGCAACTTACGTTGCAATTAGTTTTAACCTATATATGTTGCAACTTATAATATTGCAACATATGTTGCAACTAATTTTAGCTTATGTTGCAACATTTTGTAAATTTGAAATCAATTGCTGTAACATCTTTAGTCTAAATGTAATAGTTTATTATATTAAAGTCACATGATATGTATAAATATTTACAATACTAATTGCAAAATTCGTATAACATAATCAGTCAATCATATGAAAGTCCTCCTATGACTTCTAATGTGTGACAGATTACACTGATTATATCACAGGTCGAAAGAAAAAATATCGGGTGATCAGGTTCTGGACAAATATCAGAGTAAACCAGGAATCAATATTTGCTGAAACCTGATTTAGCCATATCAGGTAAGTTCCAATATAGCTATTATCATATGATATTTAGCCATAGGATCTGATATATATAAAGAAAAATCAGGTAAGTTTCGGGATTTTATCAGAACACCTGATAAGTCTTATATGATTTGCAACTTTTATAGGCCTATTAAGTAACCTGATACACTGTGCAAAATTCGTTCAGTATTTTTTAATTGTTTTTTTTAATTATCATATTTTGCAACTCAACTAATAGAATATAATGAAAATATATAAACATTTATATCTTTACTTTTTTTTTAATTACTTTATTACAATAAATACAAGTTCTCGATTTTTGCTCTCCTCATAATATAAAATATAGCACTTCGTTAAAATCAATTAATTAACAATTTTCTCATGATGATCTAATCCAAAAATGTACTTACGTCAATACTTACTACAAGACAAAATGTAACAACATGTAAACAATAACAATATGTAACACAAAAAAATGTAATAATAAAGCAAAAAATTCTCACACGTATGATATGAAATTTTCTGTTTATTAGAATAACTGAGATATATTTTCTTGAATTTTTTGTCTCACTTTGAAGCATTCTGAAACAAATCAACATAAGATATTGTGTATAGGAATGATACAATTCCTCCCCATTTCATAAAATTCTGATCTTCACAACTCGATATTACAAGATCTATCATCATTATCTACTTTGCAATGAAATCTTGTCTTATAGTTTTCAGCTGGCTTGTACCATCTTATAAAAGCTAAATAGTGCATTTTAGGATCCTCTGGTAGTCAAATGGTGTGCTCAAAAAAAAATTGGATTTGGCCGGGATATGTATCAGAAGTATTATCACTTAAAATAAAATGTGCTAAAATCTTTGCTGATTTTGCATGCTGAGAAGACAACATTGATCCAAATACTTCTGTCCCAATTTTTAATCGGCTAAATTGATTGACTATTGGAAGAATAGGAATAGATTCATCTGAAGCATTGTGAATATGTGATAGTGTGACAAAATTTTTATTGTACGTATTACAATAAAAATCTGCTAATAAAAGCAAAATATCTTGTTGTAATGATACACCTTTTTTTGATAGACCTAAAAAAGAACCAGAAAATGGTTCAGTATCGAAAGCTGCGCCTTCTTCTATATTAGTTAATAGCAAACAGAATGTCTAGTAGTCTTCATCAGTATATAGAGAAAGTTTTCCAACTGAATCGCTAGACTTTAATATTTTGAAACTCTCCCAAAGATATTGATTTTGATTGGCGTAAAATGTTAATTCATCCAAAATGGTATTATTTTGTATAATTTTTATAAGTTCTTGTTCAATATTTCTTTGACTATTATGAAACGATCCTAAAATATGCTTAAATGTTATTAATAAATTCCAGTAGATTCTTCAGTGTTCTAGAAATTACCTAACAAGCCATTCATTCGTTCCATTGGGTAGCACTAAAATGCATATAAGGGGCTGTAATCCAAGGAGCATTCACATAAGTGCATGCATAAATGCAAATTAGGAGATATTTTTTAGCTCCGTAAGTTTTTTCAATTTTTTTGACCATTGTTACTAAACATTGGTGAGCTTCTATAAGATTTTTTTAATACTATTCTGCATATCAAAATCTTGCAGACATGAACGAAATTTGCTAAAATTCTTCGATCAGGTTCTTTTAAAAGGTTCCACATAATAGACGTTGAATATATTAACATGAAATTTTTCTACTAATCCGCGGAAAACCCAGAAAAACCTTTTCCTGTTGATATTTTGTTTAGAAGCCTGCCGATATCTGCTGGTACTTGGATTCGATTTACCTTTTTTGCATAAGTGATAGATCTTCTGGTCTTAACTTTTCTTCTTCAATCCATAACCTCATTATAATCCATTTAGCAATTCCTAAAAAAAGGCAGTGCATGGGATCTACAACAAGAAAACATACTGGATTGAAATAAGGTAATCTATACATTTTAGACCATCATATCAATGTTTCTGATATATGGTTCCGACGTTGTTCTCCTGTTTTGTAATTTTTCCATGCATGAGCATCATCTTTAATTTTCTCAACATTTCTTTCTACAAACCAGCTATCCATATCAGACAATCCTCCAAAATTCAGTTGGTTTCTATCATCAAAAATAGCATGTTTAAGACATCGGTAACATGCAATTCTTGCAGATATATATCCACAAAGCTTTCTTGTGGCAGATATATCACAAGAACAGCATATAATTGCTTCTTTAATTGTTTTTCCATTAGGATGCTCAAAGGTTTTCGATAATTTTATACCATACCATAAATCGATAAATTGATCAACCAGAGAAGCCAGATAGTGATTTAAATGGTGTAATGATGGCTCTTTTGGACCCAGAATCAATGCTAATATTATTATATTGGAAGGTTTAAATCTTTCATTTCGAGGCAAATTGCAAATGATGGCATAAATTGCTCTAGTACTGTATTAAGAATTTTCAAAGGGCTGAAACCAATCCATATTGAGCATTATTCCAAGGTGAGTATCAGCTCTATCTGGTCGAAAGAAACTTAATCCATTTCATCACTAAATGATTCCCATATTCTTCTATCATAAATATCTGCAAGAATTTCTGGGTCAGAAGGTCGATTAACCCATTTTCGGCATGATTCTTCGAAACCTTTTCATTTGAATAGAAGATTCAGCTGGTGTTTCAAGCTAACCATAGGAAATATTAAGGTTGGCCTTTTAATTACATCATTTTTCATATGAACTTGTTTATATAATGAAGTTCCACAGACATTTCTTTTATGACTCATTGGGTGGTTAGGAAAATCTTGGAATACACAATTTGTGTATTTAGGTGTAAGATTAGGACTACTGCTAGATACATCGGCAACTTTATACAATTTACAGCACTTTTTATAAGCCGCATATTTTATTAAATGAACACAAATACCAAGATTCTTGTGTGCCATATAGAGTGATGAAGAAAAAGTTGAAAATGTGGTTTCATCTACATTTACAAGAACATATCGAAAAAATTTAAAGAGAGAATTTGCAGCTACATTAGATAGTTGAAATCTTTCTTGGTACTTCAAGATTTATGTAATGATCCATGAAAAGAAATTGTTTAATCCTTCGGCATATTTAGAATTGTTTTCCTCTAATTCTACTTCTAGAGTATTGAAATTCACTTGATCTGCTTTCTCTGAATTATCTGATAAATATTCTGAAGTATTGTCTTCAAAGTCTCTTTCATTATCTTCTTCAAGTGCATCATCGTTATCATCATCAGAGAATATTTCATTTATTACTGGAGGTGAAATTTTAGAAATTTTATTTCTTTGAAAATTAATTGGTGTTCTTTTTACTAAAAATGAGCTCTCTTCTTGTAATTCTTCATTATAGTTTATATCGATTTCTGGATCTGAAGGTATTAAATTAATAAATAGTATTTCCAGTGCTTCAGAAAAACTAGCAGTAGTTTCTTGTTGTTGAGACACAATTGTATATTTAGCATGAGCTGCTTTAGTCCTAGGATTTACCGATTTTTCTTTACAACCCTGATAATAGCATGGTACAGATTTTTGAGTTCGAGGAGGACGAGTATAAGGAGTTTTTTGAACACTTTGAGCGTTAGATTTATAAGGCATTTTAACGAAAAGTAAGAGAAAATTATATTTATTTATTATAAATCATATAATTTATTGTGATCAATGTAAAGCCTAATTTAGTTTATTATAGTTTAATTTATTGTATATATAGATCTACTTAAAATTATTTTATCTAATTTAAACTCTTTCTTCTTTTTATCCTTTCTAGTTTATTTATTATTTTTCCTTATTTTATAATGATGAATAAATACAAGTAAGTAAAAGAATTTTTCTAAAGATAAAAACTACAAAATTCTAAACTTTGTTTTGGTAGTATAGAATAACTTCATTACAAGAAAAAAGTGATATAAGTTGAATACCATACTCTTTTAGGAAAGATACTTTATACCCAGAAGATACTTTATACCCAGAAGATATTCCACACCCAGAAGATACTCAATATTCAGAAGATATTCCACGCTCTCATCAAGAAAATACCTCGTTAAATAGAAACAGTAGTCAAATTTTATACTCTCCATTAAACAGAAATAGAAGTTGAATTCCGTCCTCTCCATTAAACAGAAATAAAAGTCAGACCCTATATTCTTGTTAAGGACAAGAAGGTACTTTGCTAAACTGGGATAGAAGTCAAACCCTATACTCTCATAGGAGATAGGGATATTGTTAAGCTTAAACTGTTCGTCGTTAAGTTAACAATTTTATTTGCTAACAGGGAGTTTAATTACGTTTAAACTATGAAAGAAATATACACGAATTTAATTAATTGAAGAGTCAGATCGTCTTTATTGATATTTATATTTTGAAGATAATTAGTTAATTCTTAGTTTATTTACAAATCTCTATCTTA